GGTCATTGGTTACTACATTGGGAATATCCTTCTCAATGCAGAGGCAGGGCTCATGGCAGTCTCACGCCTTGTTCGCCCAGTTACTGTGAGCATAAGAAAATAACAGCTGCCTAGAGCGCAGAAAGGCACCGTGAAAATAAAAACTTATTTACAAAGGCTGTCCCTGTATCTTAATCCTGTAACATTCTTGTTCCCGCTTTAGTCAGAGTTTGTGAATGGTGCAAAGTTTTGTGCATATTTTATTGTAATGTCAATTGTCCAGCTAGAAATGAGGGTGAGATGATTAAACACATTCCTACTTGTGACCTAGATTTGAACCCAGGTCCCTAGTCATTAGCCCTGACATTACAAGGTGAAAGGGAGGGAAGGAAGAGACGGTGTAATACTAGAGAACAGATTTCACTTTATTTGTTTACTGGGGGGGGGGGTGGAAATCACATTAAAATTAGGTAAAAGGAATGGAGCATTTGTACAAATCTGTTAAATTCCAATTAAGCTTACCAGTATATTAAATCTATTTTGGAGTTGCAATTGCCTAAGAAGAGTGCAGTAGTAAGTATGGTGAATACCTCTTTTTTGGTAGTTTTTTTCATAAGACAAAGCAGATGAACTTTTTGCTGTCTTTGACTGGGCAAAGATTTTTCAAGATGAATTTTTGAGATTTCGTCTTGGCTTTATATCAAAGCCATCTGGTCACATATGGAGTCTCCCAGGTCAAATAAACCCTTCAGAAGTTTCTCAAAGCAGGGAGAACCTTTGCAAACCTAAATGCAGTACAGGAAGATTGAAAGAATTGACCAGTTTCATTGTGACTTTTGCCTTCACCTTATTGGCTTGAAACATAATATAAATGTGCAGTGAAATTCAAGGAGTCTGAAACCCCATGAACACAATGATGAAAAAAGTCAGCCAAATCCCACGTGGACCAAGACCAGTAAATTTCACACAGCTTTAGTTTCCTCAACTATCCTGCAATGTAGTCATGCAGTATATGCATACAGGGCCCGATTCTGATCTTACATCTGAGTAAAGTCTGGAATAACTGCACTGAAGCCAGCGCAGATTCACTGGCATAAATGAAAACTGAATCAGGCCCATAGTGCCTTGACTGTCCTCTTAAGGGTTGTTCAAGTAGTAACATTACTTCTAATAGCAATATTTATAAAGGAACAGGAAATGGCTGCCCAGAATGTCTTTTGGGGTACATTACCCATTTAAAGATTAGTCTCCTTTTTGGAGAATGAAAAATAAAACATGTTGCATTGAAATTCCACCACCACATTAAATTATTCCATGCACAATCACATTTAAATCCTAATACAGTATATCTACAATATCTACATGACTGACTACATGATCTTCCTTATCTAGTGTGTAAGGTTGCATCATCTGAAGCATTCAGATTCTATTGCAGCAATATAGAGTACAACTGAAGGTAAAATTGCTCAGACACAATCTCCTTAAGTTTTTTAAATGCATGTTGACCTTAATAAAACTAAATATCCTAGCAGAAAATTCTCTTAACTACCAATGAAACTTGAAGAAAAAAGTTAAAAAGGAGGAAGCAGGCAGGTAGGTTCCACTAACTCCGATAGGCTAAAGAATGAAGAAACTTCAAGAATTTTTTTTTCTCAAAAGTGAGAAAGACCACACAGACACAACCCACCGAAAGATGACATTCAAATGCAGTCAGTTGTGCTTAAGTATGTCTGGTATTGTATGCACAGGATATGCAGTTATAGCACAGGAAAACAAAAATCTGTGTGTGTGTGTGTGTGTGTGTGTGTGTGTGT